ATACTTGGGGTTATAAATGTATTAATAAGCTCTATGATCCTTGCAGTTTACCCAAAAAGTGATTGAGTGGCATTATTGCTTCACAGAACTCAATATCTAATGTATCATTTATCGAAATTGAGAAGACTAGGGACCATCATTTAATGACTTAAAGTAAATGTGAAAGTACTGGTTAGTCTACGACGACATACATTGAAAGAACTGATTATCTTTGATTTAAAAATTTAAGACTAATGATAATTGATTTTTTCACATCCTTGCATCTTGTTGAATAATATGTCAAAACTGTGTTGATCCTATCTAAAAGCTTTACAATTTGTCTGACCTAGCATTTGTTTTCTGATAATTGACATGTGCAAAGTTGTAAGCACGATGTCCTGTTTCTAACTCTTTCTATTATCAGGATATATTGGTTCCTATTTGCAAAAATCTTGCACTGTCTCATCTTGTGTAGTGTCCCTTTAAGCTCATTCAATGGTGTCTTCAGTTGTTCTTTAACTTTTTGCTGAACTTTTGTCTCTTGTTAGTCAAACGAGCTTTTTTTGTAAATATGTTGCTCTGGCTATACTGTCTATAGCTCCACCTTGTGTTTTTATCCTTTTGAGTTTGTGTCTTAATAAATGTGAGATTTGGTCTATATTTTACACAGGTTTATGGAGATGACGAGTGGTCATTCGGGTTCTGTGAGCAAGGTACTGGAGTTTTTAGTTGTCCTGCTGGGAAAAATCCAATGTATACATACCGTGAATGCATTGTACTTGGAACCACAAACCACCAAATTTTCGAAGTGAACCAGATACTGAGAGAGCTTAGTAGAGAGTGGCCCGGACACTCATATGATTTATTGGCAAAGAACTGCAATCACTTTTGTGATGAGTTTTGTGAAAGACTTGGTGTTCAAAAGCTTCCTGGTAATCTTTTTCTCCCTCCTCTCTGTTTTCCCTTGCCTGTTGATCTCTGTTTGTGCTATAATCATTTTTTGTCTACAAACTCTTAGTAGTGAACTTGAATTTTGCGCAAATGTACGGCCACTACTTTTAGTTTCTGGAGAAGTACTCAAATTATTATGTATTTGCTATTTCATCATTTTCAATTAGGTGATGTCTGCTTACCAGTGAGATGTTTTACTTTGAAGACAGTTCTCGGTTTCCAATTCTCCTCATACTTATTGAAGCTCATGGAAACCACCTTTTCTCGGCTTTTGAATTTGACATTTTTACTGAATGTTATTTCTTTCATTCCAAGTTCAGTTTCCTCCTCCTTTTTTATGATAAGGTAATTCCTTGTTTCCTAGGTTGGCTTCTATGAATAAATTGATTAATGAACATTCAAGCTTAGAGCAAGGTGCAGAAACATGATGGATACACTGTGCTTTGCCAAGGACATGATCCATGGTTAATAGATATATTAACTTTAGAGAATTTGATTTAAATGTTGGACCCCTAATATGAGGAGCGGGGAACACCTAATATATTTTGATTATCCCATTGAAGTGTTCAGTAAGCAAAATATTCCATTACCAGTAATTGACACTCAATTATTTTGTCCACTTCCTATACATCAGTCAAATTACTTAATAATGCTAAATTACATAAACTTATACGTTTTGAAACATGTATTGGTGATGCCTTCCCTTCAAAACATCTCTGGTTCCTCTCCTTCCAACTAGTCCAAATTCCAAAAAACACATGCTGGAATGGTTCTCCAGCATTGAAGCGTTTAAGCGCATGATTCTTGTTAAAGATAAGCTTTTAAATGCATGATATATTTTGCTTATTTGCTGTGTAATTCACGGCTTCACGCTAGTAAGAAGCATTCATTTAACGTCTTATATTAAGAAATCTGTCTACTAATATTCTTCTCCAAAACGTAGGTCTTAGGTGTTTTTTGTGGGAGGGTGGGGGTCGGTCCAGATGTAAGCATGGGCGGAAGTCCTGCCTTGTGTTCTGATTGTTGCTTGTATAGAGGTTCCCATCAGGTGCACCAAAACAACAGTTCTAGAGAAGATTTGAGATGTCATTTTACCTTACCAATAGAAATAGTAATGCAGGTGATGTATTTCATGCAGTGAAGTTAGACTGGATACTTAATATTGGGTTGCCACTTCGTCTGCTAGGGAGCAGTTTTAAAATATCCACATTATCTAGGTATACAGTAAAAAGATAGATGCACGCTTGAAATATTCTTCCGTAAGGACATGAGTTTAACACCCATTGTTTAAGCGGGAACCTTGTAACATAACTTCGCTCCTGGAACTTATTGGTGCTAAGCATTCACTGCTATATGAGTGTTGATTGGTGGTACTTTTTGCGATTGTTATACTGTTTGAAATTTGAATATATCACTTCAAGAAATAGATTTCCACCAAGATACAAGCATGATGATGCTTGAGTGCTAATGCTGATTCAAAAGCAACTTTTCTTAATCATGGGTTTATAACTACCCATGTTTCTCTGTTGGATCTTTTCAATATCACTTGATTCCTGGAGCTTATTGGTGCTAGATGTTCACTGCAATATGTTGGTAAATGGGAGGAGTTATATTTTTTATTCCTATGCTGTTTGGATATGTCATCTCGAGAAATAAAAGTTCCCCCAAATGGGAACACATGGCCAAACTGTCACTGGTGCTTGAGTTCTAATCAAATGCTGATTCAAGCAACCTCTTGAACAGACATTTATATATCGTGCAGCATAAATTTTCTGAATCTTCTATCTTCTGTCTGTAACTCCCTTCATAGACCATATTCTTATAGCTTCTGTAACAGGTTGGGTGAACAGGTTTGCTCATGCTGGTGATGCTGCCGTTGAGATAGCTGGAACTACTGCCTTTAGGGTGAGATTCCTCTACTTTTGGACGTGCATTTCTTTATCTCTAATGTTAAATGTGTGGTTACCAGTCTCCTAGTTCCCATTCTACTTCTCTATATTTACCCCAATTGTTTGACCCTTTCCCTGAAGGGAAAATCTCTCGAAAAGTTTTATTTTATCTAAGATTACATTACTTTTATGACTGTAATCTAGATTGAACATTTTTTCCAACTTAATTTCCACATTCAACATATTACTTTTATGTCGTTATGATCTCTGTGTAGTTAAGAAGCACCAGAGACAATTTTGTTTTTGTTGTTTACTTTGCTACGTCTTGCTAGTTTAGCACAACTTTTGCTTCAACTTGACTTCTTCGTCTCTATGTAGCTGAGGCAAGCTAAAACAGAGATTGTTACAGCTAGTAAAGTGGCATATAGGTTCTTTGCGGGAGTTGCTTCGAACAATTCAGTTGCCCCGGATTCTCCTAACTCTAGTCGGGGAACTCCTAGATTTCAAGCTAATTGGTTTAAAAATTTTATCACCACTGGTGCAAAACCATCAAGTAGTTCAGATTTGGAGAGTCACAGTGAAGAAGTGCTACGTCAGCAGAAGCATCATGGCACAGAGACCCCTCTGAGGCAGAACTCGCGGCAGGACAGCTGAAAGAATTCTACCATGCGCTGATCCATGTTGTAGTTCATACTGTAGTCAGACACAAGGAATATCGTTGCCCCCACGTTCACTGTTATGGTTGACCACTCCTTGTTATTCTCAAGAAAATGCAAGCTTATTGCTGCTGATTTGTTGTGGAATTATGTAAATCATTTTGTTCTGATGATGATGATGCTTAAATGTTAGAAATTTTTTATGGGATTATGTAAATTTTTCTGCTCTTTTGTTGATGCCGAATTAAATGTTAGAAGGTGGACGCACAAACAACATTATTCATAATAGCTTACCTGTTCTTTCTTTAATTTCAATTTACATATATCTGAGTTCATGCAGTTAACTACATTAGGATCATGCAACATATGGAATAGTTTCCTTTTCAGCTAAACAAGTTTCTCGTATAAGTCAGAAACTGAGGATTTGCATAAGATGTCCGTGGGCAAGAAAAATCTAGTCCCGTCATGGAGAAAGAGGAGAAGAAATCAAGTTGTCGGCTTTAAGATGTCCCTTGCCACAAAAATTTAATGTTTAATATATCTTGGTCGTCTCATTTTCATGATAGATTTTGCTCACAATAATAGCCCATTCTTCCCATCCTAGTAGAGATCCGTCGATGATAATATTTGAAAACAAATTCAGAATAGTGTTTCTTTGCATTTGATTCGTTATTTCAACTTAAGATAGAAAATTAAAGTTTGAAAAATTAATTTGAACAGTATTTCAAGTAAAATATACTAATGGATTTCACTCATAAAACTTAGTGGGCTTTGGACATAGGAATTGTAAAATTCCAAAAAAAAAGAATTTGTTTTTTCAAGTGAAAATGGTATTTGAAAATTAGAGTTGTGTTTGAATATAAATATAATTTTGGATTGTTTTTGAACTTTTGTAAGTGATCTGAGTGAAAATTATAAAAAATAGCTTTTTAGGGTTTTCAAATTTTCGAAAAATTCCAAAATTCATCTTCAAGTGATAATTAAAAATTTTATGACCAAACACTAATTTCGAAAAAAATAAAAAAAAATCGAAAAAAAAGTAAAAAAAATCTTATCTTCTCCAAGTTAATATCACATCAAAACACAACTTCAACTCCAAATATTCTTGTTCAATTTCAACTTCAACCAAATGCTATCCTTAGTAGATATATGCATAAACCAATTATGAAATTGACGGTCTACTCGACGAGTTAGGTCGCAGGGTCTGAACCACTGAATATATACTAGTGCGTAGGACTTGACATCCTGCTTTAAGTAATTAGAATGTGATAGCTCAACATTTTCCAAGCAAGGATTTCGAGACCACAATAAGAAAATAAAATCACAAGTACATTAAATTATACTTGACAGCCCATCCCCCAAACGAGCAAAAAGTACGATCAATTGAATGTTTTCATCTCAAGTCTCAACCCAGCCATAGATATTCTCCCACCATGTAGCTCTCATGAACTCAAGATGTAATTTAACCACTCTAGACTTCGCATATAACACCTCAACAGGTGACAATCAACCAGAAACACCACAGTAAATTTTAAAACACAAGCAACAACAAAGAGCGTACATATTGCAAACGGATGAGTTCAACTTCAAATATATACATGAGATTATTCAAACCCATTAAGAAAAAAATAGTAGTTTGGCACCACCAACTGGATTACAGACTTAACAACAACAACAACAAATAATTCACTGGATTACAGATTTAAGACTTCCAAATAATTCACTCCCTCAACACCTGATTGAAGATATACGAGTCCACTGGAGCGTCTTCAGCGATCTGAAGAGATGAGACAGCCTGTGCTGCAAGTAGATCAGGAGAAATTCTTGCAACCTCCCAATTTCCCTCATCAAAATAGTGATACTGAATATCCCTTACACAAGGTTCAGATGAGATCATCCAGTCAGAATTTCCCCACTCATTCGACATGCATGCATACCCGCTTGCCCCAGAATCCCAGTCTATTCCTTCAGGTGAATATGTCGAGAAGTCTTGGTGAGGGAGTATGGGTCGTTGTCCCCCAATGTACAAGTCAAAATTGCTACAAAGATCCCATGCATTCCATCCTTCGTCCTTCTTCAAGATAAGCTTACATGAATCATCAGAGTCTTCGTCCACAAGGACCTGAAGAGCAACTGCCTCAGCAATCGCAGCACCCTCTTCATCAAGCCTTTGCTGTTCTTCTTTCTTCTTCTGTTTCTTCTTTTCCAGTTCAGAACGGATGGCAGCCGAAGTAGCCAAGGCTTTCTCTAAGCGCCTCTTCTTTTTCTCAGCCTGTTTAATTCGATCCAACTCATCCTTAACTTGCTTCTTCTTGTCTTTTCTAACTGCAGATGCAACTTTAGCACAGTCCATTTTGCCAACTGATTCTCAAACAATAACACTTAAGCAAATCTGACTTCCCCTTTGTTAAGATATCTCTAAAGAAGTATTCATACTCTCTGTGACTAATTTATTTTCCTTTCCTTTGTGCCCTGTATTTAATACTATTGCAAAAGACTAAATGCTATCCAATCTAAAGCGTTTACGAGAAGTACACCTACACAAACTCAGGTCTAAAGGAATACCTCATTTTACGAACAATACAGTCCCAGACAGAAACAACAGGAGACTGAAGAAGAGAAGATTGGTAAGCACTCATAGGCCCGTCACTCACCATTCTTCCTAGTTTTCCGCAACCCTGGCATTTACCCATCTGGCAGCAACTAACCAAACTACTAACCTCAATGAAAACCAAACAAAATGATGTCTATACCTGTCGGCTTGCAACAACTCACATGGCCTTCCCTCCTGCAGAATATGCACAAACTTAGTACATAAATTCCAGATATTAACAGAACGAATAATTAGAAACACAATCAACAGAATTCATCCTAGACATATGTATATCACGATATACACCACGTTGTCCCGTACATAGATTTTTTTTTTTTGTGTGTGTGTGTGTCAAAACCACATAATCTAGAGTACTCATACAGCTTATTAAAGAGACCAGAAAAACAAAAAAAGTACCCATATCGATGACAAATCTACCACCAAAACAGAGGGAAATTTAAGAGATACAAAAACTCCCACCCCAACAGCAACTAGACAAATCATCAGCGTCCTCAAACGTCAAAAGAGAACACCAATAAAGTCACATTACATATTCTCTCACCACCTATTAACAACATACAGATTGAATCCAGGACTTTCATGTCTCATACATGAGACTTTGCTTAGGACTTAGTCATATCAGCTATGTCCAAAACTAATCCTCTCATCTAAGTTGTTTTATAAACGACTATTTATTCTACATCAGAAGCTGCAATAGTGGGTAAGCAACTAAAGCAAACCCTAATTTAACAAAATTGAGATTCATATAAGATGCCCAAATCAGAAATTGACTTAATCATACAGAGGCAAAAACTACAAAAATCAATAACCCCAATAAAATTCAGTTCACTCCTAATACAACATCAAACGATAACAACCCATTCGACCCGCATACAAAAACTTCAACTTTCAATACAATCAATCACTTTCACACACAATTAACATCAGATCGAGAATACCCAGATGACAAATCAGAGAGAAACACAAAACAGAAGCACAAATATTAAATCTTTTAGATCTCACTTGAACACAAAACAAGAATCAAGAAAATTAACCTGTGAGAGAAAAAGGCCACTGAAAAGCTCTTCCAGCGAAGGGTCAACTAGAAATAGAGAGAGTATAATGATCTGTAGATCTGACGATAAGAAAAGCAAAGGTGAAATGAGAAATGGGGGCAAAGGAAGAGAGATAAGAGAGACAGAGAGGATAATATAATAAGCAACTGATCACATGAAATTGCCGGTTGGAAGAGACGGGGATGAGTAGGAGAAGCAAGGGTACAATTGTCAATTTAATACCTATTCGTTATGAGACACGTGGGAGATGAGTAGGGTCATTGAACTTTCTTTTTCTTCTCACTGGACTAATGCTATCCTATTGGGACCCAACTAATATGAATTCCTAGGGTATAAATTTCATTAAATTCTTTTTGGAAAACTATATTGTATAGCAACTTTTAAAAATAAAAACAAACAGTAGCAAATTCGGTATAATCTCACATAGTAGAGTCTATGAGGGTAATGTGTATTAGACTTACCTCTACCCAGAGGCGGACTCATGATTTGAGCGTGACGGGGCACCACTAACCTTAAATATGCCAATAATTAACGATAAAATTATGTGTGCGGTTCTTTAAGAAATTAATAAGTATGACAACTTATCCGCAATATATAAACAACCAAAAAATTTTAAAGAAAGAAAAAACATTAAGCAAAGAGTGAAAGATTACTTTGCAAAATAAGTGCTACAGGAACCAATGTTGATAGAAGCGTTGTCACCCAACACTGCTTCGTTAATTTTTCTTATATATATATA